TGTGGTCGCTGAACGACCTCCGGGGAGGACGCCATTATGTCCACCTCTTCGCTTATTTAATTTGTTCAAACGCGTCGTCGTAGTCCGCGCCGGAGACATTCTAGCTATCCGTATCCGACATCGTGTCTTCCTAAAGTCCGGTTGGGATTGTGTTAGGGCTCGGGTATTCTCGGGCCGTGGTCAGTTAATGCCCGTAGTTGGCTATTATGATGAAATGTAAAGCAGGAAAATAAAGTTAAGGATAGAGGACTTACCGAGTGAAAACAGTTGCTGGGAGAAGGCTGAAGGTTGGTTGCTTGATCGACTTGCTGAAGTATTCGCTCGGGACGCTCTGGATGCACCGATCGACTCAAGGTGGTTGATAAAAGTTCAAATAAACTCCGTGAAGGCCTATTTATAGGAGAGCATTTGGGCGGGAAACAGCCCACTTGCTTGACGCGACCACTCTAGACTCCGAGGTGACCGTTGAGGTCGCAGAGGCGGGCAGAGGTCGACACGTGGCACGGAGGAATGACAGCTGGCCGGTCGGTTTGGCGGCGGACGGTTGGACTTCTTCATCCCGTCCCGTTTTTTCCTGGGCGGTCAAAAAGGCTCGGGCTGGGGGGCTCTTGGTAGGGAATATCCCGATCGACATGCCTCCGTGTTTTATTCTTATTTGTGCAGGTTACAGGTAGGATTTTCTTAGAAGAACCCGGTCAGTCCCCGATCGGGCATCACCCGACCGACGTCTTCGGTTCCCGATCGGTAGCCCTTAGGCGAGAGAGCCGAGAAGAGACACGTGGCAGCATTATGCGCTGACAGGCAGGGCTCCCGAGAGGAGGACATGTGGTTGCTACGTGGGTGACATGTCGGACGGCCGGACTTGTGTCTCCGGCCTAACGGCTATAAATACCCACGGCGGCAACAGTGTGGGAGACTTTTGGAGATCGATAGGCTATTGTCAGAGCATCCCGACCGCAGTCAGTCGGCCCTCGGAATAGCCATTGTAGATTGTATTTAAGTCCTTCACCCGATCAATAAAAGATTTACTTGCTTTGATTGGACTTGTGCGATTTATTTACCGCTTACATGGGAATTAACACTATCACATGATTATTTTAATATTCTTTCAATTAAATATAATATTCATCTTTGACTCATCTTGCTCAAATACTTCCCACATTCTATATTCATTTTTCGTTCTTGAACGGATTGATTAATTCTGGTCAACTTGGACACTTGGTTAATTAATTTAATGACTGAGATATGCTTAGTTAGGGTATATCTCACACATTGCCGTATAATGCACAGTCAACGCATCCACGCCGTAACCGGCGCAAGACTGTTGATGTGTATGCGTGAAATCATGAAACCAAAGATTGTGAGTGTGAAAAGAACTTAACACACTTGTGCATATTAATTATTGGTTTCAACATGTATATATATGACTAGTATTTTATATGCGTGCAAAAATATGTGTCCAATATTAATACTTTATATTAAATAAAATATAAGATTTATTTAGATTTTAAATATTTATATTATTGTAAATAATAATAATTATAATTATCTATCTATACTATATATAAAAACAAAATTCTTCATTTTAACTTCTCGTCTAAAACAGTACTAATATATTGTAAAATAGTGTAATACAATTCTTATTAGAATATATTGTTTCCTACTTTCCTATTCGTAATACAATTATATTCTACATTAAAATTCTTATTCTAATATTATAAAATAGTGTAATATAATTCCTAATAGAATATATTGTTCCTACTTTCCTATTCGTACTACAATTCTACATTAAAATTCCAATTCATAATACAATACAACAATATTAAAATTCATATTTCTACTCAACAATATTATATTATTCCTTTTCCCGTTAAAAATTATATTCTCCATTATTAGTTTTATAATTCTCCGTTAATTCTATATTAAATTTACTAAATTTTAAACTCTCATTAAAACTCAGCTGCCTGGTTGAATTATTAAGATTTAAATAATTTTTTTTTAAAAATATGCATGCTTAATTCCCAATCATCCGTCAATCACATAGAAGAAATCTAATTCCATACAACACTAATAAACCCAGTTAAAATCAAATTCAATATAGTGTAATACAATTCTTATTAGAATATATTATTTCCTACTTTCCTATTCGTAATACAATTATATTCTACATTAAAATTCTTATTCTAATATTATAAAATAGTGTAATATAATTCCTAATAGAATATATTGTTCCTACTTTCTTATTCGTACTACAATTCTACATTAAAATTCCAATTCATAATACAATACAACAATATTAAAATTCATATTTCTACTCAACAATATTATATTATTCCTTTTCCCGTTAAAAATTATATTCTCCATTATTAGTTTTATAATTCTCCGTTAATTCTATATTAAATTTACTAAATTTTAAACTCCCATTAAAACTCAACTGCCTGGTTGAATTATTAAGATTTAAATAAAAAATTTTAAAAATATGCATGCTTAATTCCCAATCATCCGGCAATCACATAGAAGAAATCTAATTCCATACAACACTAATAAATCCAGTTAAAATCAAACTCAATCACCCAACTTCATGTTGTACTTAAACACTCCTAAATCACTTATAAATATAGTCCAAAACCTAGCACTCCATCACGAAGAATGAAACAGAATATTGAGGAAGAGCAATTTGGAGCTTGACGATCTAACCCATTTCATCAATTTCACAATATAATATTTATTATTATAATTTATATAATTGTATATCGATTCAAATATTCTTAAATATTATAACAAATCAATTCCGTGCATCGCAATGGTGAAAATACTAGAATTTTAAGAATATTTGAATCGATATACAATTATATAAATTATAACAACAAATATTATATGCTGTAATCTATTTAATATTAAAAATACAACAATATTAAAATTCCTATTCCTATTTTTTCCGTCACTACTCAATATTGAATCAATGATTTTAGTTTACTCCAATCTATATATTCGACTTTGTTATTTACTTTTCATTATTTATAAATAAACTATTTTTTTTTGTTTTTTTTTTTTCCTTTTAATAGTTGATGTTATCGGATTCAAATAAAAAGAAAAAACAGTTTGCTTTGGTGGAGTTGGAGAAGTTGCTATCTTTCTGGGGGAAGAGCCTGAAAGACTTCTTAAAAATGCCAATTCTAGACGAAACTAGCATAGGTTTGAGTGAAAACATGTTGATAGCTGAAGAGTTGGCGTATGACAAGGAATTGTTGAAGACAAAGCATGAAACATTGGTAACACAATTGACCGACGAGCAAAAGAATGTTTACAACTCTGTGATGAATAAAAATATTGCTTCCAATGGAGGTGGATTGTTCTTTGTGTATGGTTACGGAAGAACATGCAAGACATTTGTGTGGAGAATGTTATCATCAAAGATAAGGAGCCACAGTGATATTGTTCTGAATGTTGCTTCCAGTGGAATGACATTTTTGCTCTTGCTGGGAGGCAGGACGACGCAATCCAAATTTGCTATACCACTCTCCTTGAATGAAGATTTCATCCCACGTGCAATATATTGCAAGGTAGTGACCTTGCTAAGCTTATAATAAGGAGCAAATTGATAATATAGGATGAAACATTGATGACGCACAAACACTATCTTGAGGCTTTGGACAACACCATGAGGGATCTATTGAGGTTCGCCATACATACGGGGTAGTGCTAAAAAGACTTTTGGTGGAAAGACAATAGTTTTGGGCGACGATTTTAGACAGATCCTACTTGTTATTCCGAAAGCAACAAGACCAGTAGTTGTCGGAGAAAATATTAATTCTTCATACCTATGGACAAATTATAAGGTATTATGGCTCACCAAGAACTTGAGACTACGGACCTAGCTTCAGAGGATGATAGGCAGTTGATTGATTTTCAAAATGGATTGCAGACATCGGAGATGGGATTGCAAGGGTTGTAAACAGTGGTTCATTTGAGATCGATGAGTCCTCTGAAGCAACTATAGTGGAAAGCACATTCCCAAGCTCGAGATATGGCATGCTTGATGAGTCCCAACTAGAAGGCCGAACCATCCTCTCGCCGACTTTAGATGTCGTTGATCAAATTAATCAGTACATTTGTGACATTGCCCACATATGCCATGACTGTCAACAAAAGCCAAGGTCAAAACACTAACTCACGTTGAGTTATTGCTAGAGAACGAGCACATTGCCCAATTTATAAAAATCATAAACAATGATATATAAAGTTCTCTAAAGTTACAACACCGCATGCGTACATCTACACATCAACTATTAATTTGAGCAATTATTTGCTCGAATTCAAGCAATGATAACATCAACAAACATAAACAATCCAAACCATATCTTCAATTGCACTATATAATACTCCGTATTTGATGTTATAATTTAAATAATTGTATATCAATCCAAATATTCTTAATATATTATAACAAATTCATTCTGTGCATCGCAGGGGTGAAAATACTAGTAGTAATAATAATAATAATAATAATAATAATAATAATAATAATAATAATAATAATAATAATAATAATAATAATGTAAAACATTCTAAAATAAATGTGATATTTATATTTTAGAAAATAACTAACATATAACTTCAATATAATGTGTATATTATTATTATTATTATTATTATTATTATTATTATTATTATTATTATTGTTGTTGTTGTTGTTGTTGTTGTTGTTGTTGTTATTATTATTATTATTATTATTATTATTATTATTATTGAAAAAGATAAGAAAATATATGGCGAATGCATGTGCATAGTAACAACAGTGGAAGAGATAACAGAAGTTATAACATGAATATGTTTATCTAAAATATTGTATAGTACAACTCTTATAGCATAATGTATTAAAAAAATGTAATGGAAAAACAGACATAAAAGAAGGGTATAACCGTCCTTTACACTTATTGATTAGTTTTTAGATAGTAATTTAATAAATGATGGAGTTGAGTGAGTTCCTCAAACTTGAGTTTAAAAACACTATATATAGTATAATATATGGATTTGTTTTGATTGTTTGAGCTCAATTGTGACGGGGAAGAAGGCGAACGGGAATTCCATGAGTTGGCACCGGTGATGCATGGTAAATGATCTTCTCATCTGGAACCAATTTCTCCAACTTGAATTTGGTGACCAAGTTGTGAATGAACACCAGCAGTTCTAGCCTTCCATACTCTCTTCCCGGACACATTCTAGGCCCTCCACCGAAAGGGACGAATGAGAAAGGCGGAGGTCCACTTCCTTCAAATCTCGACGGATCAAACTTTTCTGGGTCCGAATAGTACTTGGAATTCTTGTTTGTGGCAAATACACTCCAAAATATCTACACTCATAATTCAAAAGTCAACTTCAACACATACTATTCCTAATTTAAAACAAATGAATGCTTCGTAATGCATATATAGTACATACCTTCCATCCTTTGGGAATGGTAAACCCAGCATAGGTGAAATCAGTCAAAGCCTCCCTAAAAGCTCCGAGGCCTGGTGGCACTAGCCGTAATGCTTCGCATGCAACGCACCATGTGTATTTCATCTTTTGAATGTCTTCCCAGTTCAGCAACTCATTTGGACCTTTGCTCTTTGCGATCTCCATTTGCTCTGTCATATTAAAAAGAAGTTTGTATTAAATGTTGATAACATATATTTGTTTATGACCACTACGGCGAAAGCTAGTATAGTTAGCGAAGACCTAATTTTATTTCTTTATGGATCATCATCACATTTTTGAGAGGCAAGGTGATGGAGTTGGCCTCCTCCGCCAATTGTTATATACTACTGGAAATTATGGAATTCTGTTCTGGACCACTTAAGTGATCTTAAATCAAGTTGAAACCAAAAAGTGGTCGGAAATAGCAACAAAGGTTTTTCCGGATACCAAAAGTGGTCAGAACAAGGCTTTCGAATTGATTTAAGATCACTTTCAGGTGGTCGGAAATTCCATAATTTCCAGTAGTAATACATGGATCAAGGTTCATATTGTATTGTGAACCCTGATTCAAAAATTATGTGTCTGCAGTTTATCTATTTGTACAATTAGTTAATAATTTTTGTACCTGTAAATAAATTGAAGACACATAACATTGTAATTATAGACCTATAACATAATAATTACAGACATATAAATTGTTAACTACAGGTACAAAATAGGTTAACAATAAAATGATGTTGATTAACATGTTATGTGTCTGCAATTAACCTATTATGTTCTTGCAATTAATAGTTTCTGTAGTTATTATGTTATGTGTCTGTAATTACCATGTAATTGTCTTCAATTTGAGTATAGAATCTGAAAGTTATTTTTTAACTAGAATCCTGAGACCTTGGTTCATTGTATAATTTACCAGCCTTCACAGGAGAATCCACCTAGCTACCTATTGTTATTAGTCAATTCGATTGATCTCTTAATAATGAATTAATTACCTTTATACACCTTGTCATAGATATGTGGAAGCTCAGCAAGAAACTTGATGGTGAAGGAAAGCGCCGCGCTTGTAGTATCGTAGCTGGCAACGAGCAGACCAACAAGGTTGTTACATATGTCTGTGTCGCTCAAAAACTTGCCGTTTTCATCAGTGGCGCTCATCAGCCGAGACAATAAATCACGGTATCCTCGCTCATCGTCCCTGTTCTCCATCGCTTCCTTTCTCCTTGCCGCGATGATCTTCAGAATCTCTTCGCAGACCATTCTCCCGCCCTTCAGCGCCCGGTGATACGCCGTCCCCGGAAAATCTACCGGCACGGAGAACATGCCGGAAGTCACCATGACGTAGCGGTCCGACAGCTTTTTGACGTGGTCGGGGTCTTCGACGCTGACGAGAAGCTTGCAGCCGAGGGCGAAAGTGTACTTCTTGGACAAGTCGTAGGCTTTGACGTGGTGGAACGGCGCCCAGTCCGCCGTCACGTGCTTGCGAGCCAGGGCGTCCATCACCGGGATGTACTGCTTGAGATGCTCCGGGCGGAGGATCTCGTGGACGAAGGCGTGGTTCATCAGGGCCAGCTTCTTCTCCGGGTCCTTCTCGTCGGACGGGCAGATTAGCGGCTTCGTGATGGAGCGCGGCCACCAGAAGGACACCAACTTCCCCTCGTTTGCGAACAAGAACTTGTTCGCGGCGGCGCTGCAGAATACGACCATTTTCTCCCCCAGTAACGACGTCTTGAACACCTCCGAGGAGTGCTTATTCATTCTGTCCACGATGTACCTGTTCAGATTAACAAAACAATAATAATGACATAAAATAAAGAAAGTATGATTTACATTATGTCTACTGAAAGGAAACTATTCTTTCATTAATAGTGACGGTAATAATACTCATATTCCTTATACCAACCAACATGGTTGATGGGATGGTTCAGCATCTGGTCTCTTAAACATGAGGTTGGAGGTTCGATCAGTTCCCTACCACTTAGTGTACCGACAGTAGGGACGAGGGACAGTAAATGGAGTAAACCATTTGGCCGGTCCCCTATCACTTAGTGTGCTGACAGTAGGGACAAGGAATTAGTTTTCTAACTATTGGCGGGAAGGATACCTTTGGGTAACCAAAAAAAAATATTCCTTATATCAGACAGACTCATATTCTTGAGACAAACTGAACAATACCTCTCGGGACCGGACATTGCCATGTTCATAGTCTCTCCGAGTATTGGCCACCCGTTAGAGCCAGGCGGGAGGTGTTGTTTGTTAGAGGTTGGTTTACGAGCAAAGAAGATGACAAATATGGGAATGACAATTATTGTTGCGAAAAACACTGAATAATAAAGGAAAAATGCCTCCATATTTACTGTTCTTGATGCTCACATGCACAAGTGAAGTGACAGTGAAGAAGAGTAATGAGAGGTGTGTGTGGTGATACAATGGTTCATGACATGGCTATATATATATATAGCCCACAGGAGTTAACTATACTCTATGGACTTGAAGTGGAAGTCAGGAATGGCGGGTATATTTTAATCGATTGATTGACTATATGCCCTAGCTTTCTAATCATTCCATAAATACCGGTACAAATAAAATATATGACAAAAACTTGTGTGAGAGGTGTGGGGTTGAGTCGGGTCAACATGAACATGTAATATTTATACGCACAAATGTCATAGTTATAACTCAAATATAATACTAATTAATAATAAATTTGTTATTATTTATAAGTGTAAATGTAATACTTTTAAGGGAAAAATGTAATACTTTTACATTTTGATTTAAAAATATTACACTTTTTGTCAAAAGTATTATATTAAAGGGCACTTGCCAACATTACTTATTATGGAAAATGTAATACTTTTACATCAAAATGCAAAAGTATTACATTTTTCCTTATAAGTAACAAATTTTTTATTCCTGATTAGTATTACATTTGAGCATATCGATCAGTATGACATTTGCATGTTGATTCAACTCGACCCGACCCACCTCACGAATAAGGATTTGTGAGACGATCACACACAAGTGTGACCCATAATATATTAGACTCTTGGTTATAGCATAGAATAATGAGCTAGGGATCGGAAGACTATTTATTTATTTATTTTTTTAATTTTTTTTTTCTTTTTCTACCAAAATAAATACTATTTACACTTGTTTAAATAGTATCTTAAATTGTGTATATAACTTGTTATACGTCCTGTTATTTTCTATTTATTAATGAATCATTTTATTACAAGCTAGCTTGTCAAATTCAAAATTAGATTTGTATGGAATGATACGTTCTCATTTCTCTTACTTTTAAATTGACTTTCGGGCTTATGTGCATTAAATTACAATATTTATTGATTATTCATTCCCTTACTTCAATTCCATATCTAGGTATGGCCTAATGCTTGGTTTGCATGATTTCTATTGTGTTTACTAGTGCATTGGGACCATTGGCGATCATGCATTGAAGCGAAGAGATGATTGGAGCAAGCTTGGTGTTGAACGAGCTAGGGAAAGAATGACATTCCCAAAAGTTTCGACGTGTTCAGCTTTGAGTTTGACATGTCAAATGGTGGCCAATTGTTTGAAGTTTTAATATATTTAAATAAATAATCAATATTCTCTATTTTATATCAAAAGAAAAAAGTAACTTGGAGGATATTGATTATCAAGAAAAAAGTTATCAATATTCTTCATGAAGTTAGCAAACACCTCCTTCAAGTTACTTTTTTCGTGCTCATAAATACGGAGAATATTGATTCTTTATTTAAACATATAAAACAGAGAAACAACTTACCTATGAATTTCGCAGCTTGGAAGTGGACGAATTTGAGATTTCAGAGTTTGGGAAAAAAAAAGACATTCGATTGTAGGTATAAAAAGAAAATAATGACTGTTGCGCAATGAGTTTCAACATAAGAAAGGGATTATAATTTGAAATTCATATTTTACCCTTCTATTATTAAATTGTTTTTAAGTTTTCGGTTAGCTGCAGACAGAATATTAATGCTATGGACCAAACTCGCCACTTTGTTCATAACTAAGGGACTAAACTCGGATACTGCCATAACTTAGGGACTGAGTCGGAACTTGGTTATAACTCAGGGACTAAAGATGCAATTTTCCCTATATTAATTTTCAAATATGATTTAGATATATAATTTGTGTTCATAGACATAGAATTTCACAACACAAGACACAACAATTCATAACATAAGACGCAATTACTAATTTATTTCAGGTACAAAATTTATACCCTTAAAGTACAAAATTTATACCCTTAAAGTACAAAATTTCATAATACAAGATACAAAAAAACTCACAACATATATAAGACACATGCACATACACCAGAATCCAAGGTTAGAATTTTATAACACAAAACACAAAAACTCAGAACGTAAGGCACATGCACATACACATGAATTCGCAGTGCACCGTGAACCCTGTCCAAGGGTTTGAATTTTTGGCTGGAAGTGGAATGAATTGGACAGTGTTTTATAAAAACTATCATTACTTTTTTTTGGTGGGGAAAAAAAAAAAAAACTATCATTACTGATTTATGTTATTTCATCGTAGACGGAAACAAAGCGGAATGCAGAGTTTTAGTATATATAACTGCAAGTCTATAAAAAATAGAAAGTATATATCATAATATAATTCCTCTAATAATGTCTAAATATATTTATTTACGACATAAATAAATTTATAAAACAACAAATAGAATTTATCTATTTCTAATTTAACAATGGGCCAACCGCTACCATAATGAAACAAAAAATACTAGGGGTGGGCAATTCGGTTCAGTTTTCCCGAACCAAACCAAACCTTATTGAACCGAACTAGTAATATATTAAAAAATTGAACGGTTCAGGATTCTTGTAAACTGAACTCTTTGGTTAAAAACTGAACCGAACGGTTTAGTAAAAACCGACCCCAACCGAATACTATTTTTTTTAAAATAATAATAATAATAATAATAACAACAACAACAACAACAACAACAACAACAATAATAATAATAATAAAAGTAAATTTAAGTCCCTTGATCCCTGCTCCGCCGTTTAGTTCATTCTCACTGGTATCTCTCTTAAATTATTTATTTGATTTCTTTATGGCTTGTTCTCTACTTTGTACTTTTGTTGTTTGTTGCAATTGTTCTTTACCTTACAATTATATCTAACTTGATTTATTCTTACAATATTCAGTATTTTCCTTTGTTTCATGTTTCTATGAAATTAATGTGCTTTAATATCATTCTAATTTTAATTTCCAGTGCACTGGAATTATTTTCTAATACTATAATATATTTTCAATGCAATGAAAAATAATATTCCAGTGCACTAGCAATGATGGATTGTGTCCAAAAATTAACTATACAGTACTTGACACTTATTCTCCAAATGTTAACTATACAGATAGATGATTATTAATCTTGTCCATAAAATAATCCAAGTGAGCCAACTGAAGAGTCGGTTGTTCCAGAAAGCCCACTGATGTTTGGTAATTACTACTTAGTAGTGTGTTTGAACTTTAGATTGCTTTTTTGTTATATAATGTTTAGACTTTGGATTTGGGGTCCTTATCCGAACCGAACCAATTCTGAACCGAAATCAAAATGTTTCAAACCGAATAGAACTATAATATTAAATCGAATGGTATTAGTTTTTAATACCGAAGTACCGAAACCGAAATTGTAACAAAGAAAAAAAAAAAAAAAACCAAAACTCGAAATGCCACCCCTAAAAACTACTACCATATCCAAGTAGTGGTCCATTTTTGTAGGTGGATTAAAAAAAAATGTCTCTCTTTTTTTTTTTTTTTTTTTTTGAATATATTCAAAGATTCCACCGTCGGACACAATGACTAATCCCCTCGCTGAATTGTAGGCGCTTTTTTTTAATGAGACAGTTAACCTGGAGATTATTTAAAGCTGCTCCATTCCCAAAGTCAAGGATCGAACCCTTGACCTTCAAATAATATTAATTAAAAAGTGGGCTCTATAATTTAATTGTGGAATACTCTTATTTTCCAAGTTTCCAACTATAGATCATTTTTGTGTCATTCATTCACATATACCCATAATTGTTTGCCCATCGTTGAATGTGTGAATATTAAAATTTATCTCATTCCTAATGAAAATCCAAATCTTTTTTTTTTTTTACTACACTTAAATCATATCATTTGTGGATCACACTCAAAGACCCTGTTTGGTAAACTAGTTAACTTATCAGTCAATTTTACTTTATTTAATTACTATTAATTGTTTGACTTGGTTAAAAAAGCAATGGTCCTGGTTTGTAAATCACTGTTAACTGATAGTTGTTAAATTAGATGTTAGCTGATTGAGTTAATTAAATGGTATAATTAGTTGATAACATTAGTTGATTGTAGAAAGGTACTTGGTAAATTAGCTGTTAGCTAATGACTGTTTGGTATAATTTCTTTTCTCAAAAAGCTAATTGAAAAAGTTATTTTGAGTAGCTTTTTGAATTTTAGCATTTTGGAGTACAAAAAGTTAATTAACCAAACACTTATATTGATTTTTTAAACCAAGTCAAATAAATAATAATGGTCAAATAAGCTAAAATTGACTTATAGGATAACTATTTTACCAAACAAGGCCAATATAAGTGTTTGGTTAATTAGTTTTTTGTAACTCCAAAATGCTAAAATTAAAAAAGCTGCTCAAATCAACTTTTCCAATTAACTTTTTGAGAAAAGAAATTATATCAAACAACTATTAGTTAACAGCTAATTTATCAAACACTTTTCTACATACAGCTATTGTTATCAACTAATTATACACTCTAATTAACCCAATCAGCTAACCGCTAATCACCATTTATCAAACAAGACCAAAGTAATGTATCATAATGACCAAATTCATGATTTTAATAACTGGGCAAAACCAATTTTAATCCATCAATTATATATAGAAACATTCCATTTTTAGTTATTAAGTATCAATTTGAACACTTTAGTTTAGTGCATCAAGTTTTCCAAATTATAATTCAAATTATTTCAAAAAGTTCTGAAATGCATTCACTTTTACCAAAATTAAAAATTGCCTTCTTCATATGATGAGGACATTTTATACACAATTTGATTGATTTGAAAGAGTTAAAAAATCATTTTTTTTTTTTTTTTTGTGTGTGAATACTATTGACTCTATTACAATGTATTATCTGTTCATACATAATTTCTCGACCTACTAAAGCACAAAGAGTCAATGCTCCCAAACTGGGGTTTGAGCCTGAGACCTCTCTATCAATGGAATAAAATTGAAATTAGCCCGCATGGGCTTAGTTCAATGGTTCAGTAGGTAGTATTTGAAAGAATAGACCAAGGTCCGGACCTCGGCGGTGATAGTGTAGGAATTATGTCCAAAGTGGGTAGATCTCATGTGCGCACATGCATTTGGCCCTGA